GAAACAGACCATTATGAAAAGGCTAGTTTTTGAGGAAAAGTGGAGGCAATAGTAATGTGTGTCATGCTTTAACCTAACTTTGGTGCTTGCACAGCATTTATGGGGGAGTCTTTGGTCTGTTTTGGTAGAAAGAAGAAGATCAGGAAAGTGTCTCTTATGCTGCCTGTTTACTGCATCAGATTGAATTCTTTCAGCCACAGAGTATTACTGGCAAATTAGGGCTGTTTGTCAGGGAAGGCATGCCCATAGTACAGGTGAAAGTTTGCGGTTTCATAAATATGCGCATGCACAGACTAGCCACTGGCCAGACAAATGTGCGTGCATGCACACTCGCGCCTCCAGGTGCACGCCTGTCACTAATGCTGGTGCCAAATTGGCTAGATAAACAGGCTATTATCTCATTGCTGTTTGGTCTACAGCTTTTGTTTGTTGTTCCTGATTCTTGTGCCTGATCTCTGATACTTACCCAGCTTGTTCCCGACCTCCACTTGTCTGCTACCTGCCCTGACCCTGACTTGTCTTTGGATTCTTCTTCTGCCTCCTGTTCCTGTCAGATATAGAAGAAGGAGAAACAGAAGCGCTTTCTGAGCGTAGTAATAGTATAAAATATAATTTATTACAAAATAATCATTGCAACTCACAAGGGGAGACTTGTATAAGGGGAGACTTGCCTTATACAAGTCTCCCCTTGTGAGTTGCTATAATTATTTAGTATTAAATGAGAGGAGGAGGAAGAAGAGAACAAGATTAGGGTGGAGGAGCCCCCAGCTCTTTTCTGCAACTGGAGAACCTGGTGGAGATTGGACACAGTCTCAGCTACTGCTCCTGGCACCAGATCCTGACACCATTTGGAGGAGACACTGCTGGACAGGTGAGAGCTTGGAGGACTGGAAAACTGGTGCTTCCCAAGGTGTGTGAAAGCACATAGCAAGTGAAACTCCCCACTTCTGTCATGCTGCCCTAATCATGCTGTCCCTCTGTCCCCCACCTGTTCTGATGCCCCCCTCCTGTCCCACTGCCCCCTCCTTTCCAACTGACCCCCACCTGTTCCACTGCCCCCCTCCTGTCCTGCTACCCTCCTCCTGTCCAGATGCCCCTAACTATCCCATTGCGCCCTTCTGTCCCGCTAAATCTCACCTATTCTGCTGCCCCCTTTGTGACCCACTGCCCCCCTCCTGTCCTGTGTCCCCCCCTGTCATGCTGCCCTCCTTCTGTCACACTGTGCCCTATTCTGGTATGGTGACCCCCTTATGTCCTATGCCCCCGTCACTCTGTCCCCCCTTCTGTCATGCTGCCCCCCTCCTGTCCCACTTCCCCCTCTTCTGTCATTCTGACCCCTCCTGTTACACTGTCCCCCTCCTGTCCCGCTACCCTCTACCTGTCATGGGAGGAGATGCGACTGGATGGGGAGGAGGACATGAGATGGAGGAGATGAGACTGGAGGAGGATATGGGATGGAGAAGGACATGGGATGTCCAGGATGAGACTAGATGAAGACATGAGATGGAGAAGGAGGAGGATATGGGATGGGCCTTTGTGGAATGGCCAGTAGGTGGATTCAGCAGGATGGCCAGTGGGTAGGCCTTGGGGAATGTTGGTGGGGCAGGCCCTGGGGAATTTTGGTGGACAGGCCCAGGAGGGCCAACACCTAAAACTGTGTAAAAGGCCCCAAATTTTCTCATAGCTGCTCTGGTGAGTGGTATTCAGAGCAGGGCAGCTCAGTGGTTCCTGAATGCTTTTTCCTGCAGTTCCACTCACTCTCCTGGGCCAGACAACTGTCACAGCCCAAGCTTCATCTCCCCTGCGAATGGCCGGCTCTGCTATGGTCTTATCATCTATACTATCAGTATCAGTTTTCCTCCATCCAGCTTGCTGACTTTTTTCTGTGTGTGGGGTGGTGGGGGCTTCCAGCTCCCTTGTGTCTTTTCATTTCACCAGAGAGACCAGAGGGTATGCTGCAGATTTTTCTTACACCTGTGCAACTTTCTGAAGTTTCTCTTGGCAATTCCACCAGCCCCACAGCCCGAGTTTTATTCCAGCTCCTTGGCCAAGAGGTGAACAAAGGATCCATTCATCCAGCTCTGTTCTACCCCTCATTGTTCAGCTGGCTGTTTGCACTGTGATTTCTGTTGTTTTTTCTTACTATTCATTACTGTGGCTTCATTTGTTTTCATCCAGTCTTATACAATTATTTTGAACATCTGCTCTTCAATAAATGCTTTATACAGCTCAAGGTATCTTCTAAATCTATTGGTACAGATCCCATCGGCACAGAGCTAAAAAATTTGGCCTCACATCAAGAGATGATATCTGATCGATCTCATCTGACAGTCTAAGGGCTTGTTCATACATAGGTAGGCCCAAAAATTAGAGATGAGCGAATCGAACATGACGAAGTGGAATTCGTTCCGAAGATTTGGAAAAATTCTATTCGCGACGAATCCGAAGATTAGCAAACTTCGGATGCACGAATCGAATTTTCCCAAAAATGGCGGCGACATGTGTGGCGACGGAGAAAATGGACAGAGAAGATGGGGCGGGGATCTATGGGAAGGCGCGCAGACAAGGCGCGCTGACCCATAATGCATTCATGACATGTGATCGCATTAGCCAATCAGCAGCCAGCCAGCACTCTGTAATGGGTGCAGCTATAAATCGCGGCCATCTTAGAATTCTCCATTAGCCTCCGGTCATTCAAGAGAGACAGACCTGTGTGTATTAAGGGACAGAGTTAGGGCCACAGAGACTTTAGGGCCACAGAATCGTTACTCAGGGACACAGAATCGTTACTCAGGGGGACACAGAATCGTTACTCAGGGACACAGAATCGTTACTTAGGGCCACAGCTATCAAAGAATCGAAAATTTAAAGTGACATACATTCTTTTTTTTTTTTGGTGGCTGTCGTGCACAGTTGGTGCTGCAGTTTGCTGATTGTGCAAAATAAACTGACTTTCTGCTTCACAACCACTATTGTACGTTCAAAGAGTTAAATCCATTTACACGCGGGTGGCGGTAAATATTTTTTGGGTGATTAGTGCATTCCAGTGACATAAACGTACAGTTTCCAGCCAACGGCAAGCTGCAATTGACCGATTGTGCTAAATAAACTGACTTTCTGCTTCACAACCACTATTGTACGTTCAAAGAGTTAAATCCATATACACGTCGGCTGGCGGTAATATTTTTTGGGTGATTAGTGCATTCCAGTGACATAAACGTACAGTTTCCAGCCAACGGCAAGCTGCAATTGACCGATTGTGCTAAATAAAACTGACTTTCTGCTTCACAACCACTATTGTACGTTCAAAGAGTTAAATCCATTTACACGCCGGCTGGCGGTAATTTTTTTTTGGGTGATTAGTGCATTCCAGTGACAGAAACGTACAGTTTCCAGCCAACGGCAAGCTGCAATTGACCGATTGTGTACAATAAACTGACTTTCTGCTTCACAACCACTATTGTACGTTCAAAGAGTTAAATCCATTTACACGCCGGCTGGCGGTAATATTTTTTGGGTGATTAGTGCATTCCAGTGACAGAAACGTACAGTTTCCAGCCAACGGCAAGCTGCAATTGACCGATTGTGTACAATAAACTGACTTTCTGCTTCACAACCACTATTGTACGTTCAAAGAGTTAAATCCATTTACACGCCGGCTGGCGGTAATATTTTTTGGGTGATTAGTGCATTCCAGTGACATAAACGTACAGTTTACAGCCAACGGCAAGCTGCAATTGACCCAGGGTCTCGTAACTAGATTGCACGGAGGAGTAGAGTCCGTTATCGGAATTAAATAGACAAAACGCCACACCAAAAAGAGTGGCCATTTCCAACACTTATTCCAGAAAGAGGAACAACCCGTTTCATATACGGCCCGTAGACGTTTCACGTCTGCCACATTCAGTCGATTTAAGACGCAAGCTCCACTTCCTGTGGTCTCTGACCGTCGATATACCTTTAAGTGTCAGCTTTGAAGCTATATTCCCTCCGGAGCACTGACACTGGTGCCCTTCCGTCAACATGCCTTTAAGTTTCAGTTTTCAACCATATTCCCCACAGAAGCCAAACTCTTGGGTATCCCAGAAGCTGCTCAGCGGGTCAGGGCAATAAAGCTCCCGGTTCGCAGGTTGTTCCGTCTTATGGATGGAAGTACGACGGTATATGATCTTCTTCGCACCCACGGCATCACCTCATAGAATCTCTGCATTGCATCTGCAATCACAACGCTGACTTCCCGGATCGCCACTCAGCCATTGGACTCTTGATAGTCGTCTCCCCACACTGCTGCTGGGGGGACTTTTTAACCTAGGCCTGTGTATGGCCTTCAATTGAAGCTGCTTCCGCTCCGCCACTCTGCCATTGGACTCTTGATAGTCGTCTCCCCACGCTGCTGCTGGGGGGACTTTTTAACATAGGCCTCTGTATGGCCTTTAATTGAAGCTGCTTACGCTCCGCCACTCTGCCATGGGCCTCTTGGGTATCCCAGAAGCTGCTCAGTGGGTCAGGGCAATAAAGCTCCCGGTTCGCAGGTTGTTCCGTCTTATGGATGGAAGTACGACGGTATATGATCTTCTTCGCACCCACGGCATCACCTCATAGAATCTCTGCATTGCATCTGCAATCACAACGCTGACTTCTCGGATCGCCACTCAGCCATTGGACTCTTGATAGTCGTCTCCCCACACTGCTGCTGGGGGGACTTTTTAACCTAGGCCTGTGTATGGCCTTCAATTGAAGCTGCTTCCGCTCCGCCACTCTGCCATTGGGACTCTTGATAGTCGTCTCCCCACGCTGCTGCTGGGGGGACTTTTTAACCTAGGCCTGTGTATGGCCTTCAATTGAAGCTGATTCTGCTCCGCCACTCTGCCATTGGACTCTTGATAGTCGTCTCCCCACACTGCTGCTGGGGGGACTTTTTAACATAGGCCTCTGTATGGCCTTCAATTTAAGCTGCTTACGCTTCGCCACTCTGCCATGGGCCCCTGTACCGCCTCCTCTTGCTGCTGCCAGGTCCAGAGTGTGTCATGGGTCCCTGTACGGCCTCCCATTGCTGCTGACTTCATCGCCAGACTCTGCCATGTGCCACTTTCAGGTCTCCTTACACTGTTGGTGGGTTCCATTTTGTGATAGGGTGCTGTATGGCCTTCCATTGCTGCTGCCTCCACCGCCACCCTGCGCCATTTGCCTCTGTCGTCTGCTCACGCTGCTGACGGCTTCCGCTTTTTAACCGAGGCCTGTGTTTGGCTTCAGAATAATGCTGCCTACACCGCCACCCTGCGCCATGTGCCTCTGTCGTCTGCTCACGCTGCTGCCAGGTCCATACTGATTCATGGCCCGTACCGACTCCTCATGCTGCTGCCAGGCCCGTAATCTGTCATGGGCCCCTGTACCGCCTCCTCATGCTGCTGCCAGGTCCAGAGTGTGTCATGGGTCCCTGTACGGCCTCCCATTGCTGCTGTCTCCATCGCCACACTCTGCCATGTGCCACTTTCAGGTCTCCTCACACTGCTGGTGGGTTCCATTTTGTCATAGGGTGCTGTATGGCCTCCCATTGCTGCTGCCTCCACCGCCACACTGTGGCTCCACACTCTGGTTTTGGCCCCGTGACTGCCCAAATGAGTGAAGTGTGCGGTGATTCTAAGATCGACGGCACTCATCTGCATGTCATACTGACTGACAGTATTATTTCTCTTCCCCAGCAGACTCCAAGGGCATTTAAATTAAAGGTACAGTGTTCTGCACTAATATAAAGGCTCTCTGAAGCCTAGAAACACCCTTTTTATAAGTTAAATTCGCAGCGAATATATTCGGCTCGAAGCGAATTTATTCGGCGAATTCGGCGAATCAGCCGAACCGAATTTTTGAATAATTCGCTCATCTCTACCAATAATCAGTCTGATTTTCCTTTGCCACTGGGACCCCACAGGATCTTTTGAGTCAATAGGACAAGGTTTCCCACTGCGCTGTATGCATGTTTGTTTGTACTGATTAACAGTCTAGTTTCCTTGGACATTTTTTCTCAACCCCCTCTCTCTCACCTTCCTGTCTTTCTCTCACCTTCTCTCATTCTCCCACCCCCTTCTCTCACCCCTCTCTCTCTCACCCCCCTTCTCCTTCTCTCTCACCCCCCTTTCCTTCACCCACTCTCTATCACCCCTTACAGCTTACAGATGAAGGGGTGTATCTTAAACAGAAAGGGGTCAAATTTAGACGGGGCCTTCCAATTATAGTCTTGCTTAGGGCAGCACAAAAAACCAAAATATATGACTGCACACAGGAGGGCACGCATTGTCTCCTGTCCTCAGAAGACTGCTGTCAGGCCATTTATGTACAAAAGCCAGACAACAAATGGTTAAAAAGGTGTGGTAGAAAACACCTGTCATCTAAACATGATGGGTAAAGACTTGAATTTTGAGTGTACCTCTGGGAGTAATATGGATATGGATATTTTCATCCGATTTTCTGATAACATGTACTAGGTTTTATAGTGTCAACTCTGACCACAACAGGTATTTAGGTTGGATTTGACAATGAGGACACAGGCATCCATAAAACCTGAAAGAGATTCTTTCCCTTTCATTAGAGTTCCACTTCACTGAACATGTTTAAAGACAAAATCCCCAGCATCATTATCAAATCACAACAAAAGTCTGTAAAATATTTGGAATTTTGTCTTTCAGTGTTATAGTTTATCTGGCTAATAAAGGTGAGCAATGTCTCTGTAAATGAAAAAGCATTGAATATTTTCCACAATCAAATTTACAGCATTGAAAGTTGATAGCAAATATATTTTCATTAAAAAATAATCTGTTAGTTACATTTTTCAATCTAACCTTTTTTAGATAATTTGCTATGATAGTCATTTAACAACATTCATTTACCATAACTTAAATGTAATCAGGCAAGGTAATTTCAGTCGTTCATAGATAATAACACAGAAGGCCCATGGAGACAAAATCTAATTTTCAAATAGAAAATTAATGCCATAAACATTGTGAATGCAAGTATGGGGAGAGAGTTTTGTATTAACACAATGTTCCTTGAGACAGCAGTATTGCTAAAATAATATGGACCATATTATGGGAAAAGGGGAGTTTTCCCAACATACCTAAAAAAAATATATAGTGATTCAGAGTTGAAATAAAAAATGCAGTGTCCTTACTGGTAATAACATACACTGCCAGCAGGGAAATACAACTAAGAAAAAAAAACATGCAGCAGTACAATATATCTCATTCCCAACATAAATAGACTTTTCTAGTAAAGTAAAATATGAGGTTTGTCAAACATATTATAAATACTTCTAATTTACATGAAAAATTAGTTGGAAAAAACACTTTCTAAGACCGCTCTAAAGAAGACCAGTCTTCAAAAATGTCTAATATAGTACTATTTGTTTTTATTTTCTACTTATCAATACCATTAGCATGACACAGCTGTGTTAATAAAAGAAAACATTTTTCTGGATGCATAAATTGCTGTATAGGTTCAGGTTTATTCCTTTGTAATCGTATATACATCCAGGGGTGTATTTACCATAAGGCAAACAAGGCATTTGCCTAGGGTGGCATTTTTCAGGGGGGGGCATCACTGCCCCTAGGAAGAAGGGATGGATGAAAGGACGCACACAGCATGGGGACCTGGTGGGTTCCAAGCAGGGGCAGACTGACCATTTGGAAACTCGGGCACTGCCTGAGGCCCGGGGTCAGTAGGGGGCCCCATGAGATGCCCCTGATACCTTTTTCATAGGCTTTTTTGAGTTTGGGTAAGGGCACAGGGTCACCATGATCCCCTATTGCCCGGGGGCCCCATGAGTTGTCAGTCCGACCCTGGTTCCAAGTGAGGCTGCAAGTTTCATGACGGTGTATGCACAGCCCAACTCTCATTCCCCTGAGCTGTTAAGTTGAGTGTCTCTCTCTCTCGCCATGGGGGATGCTGGCTGGTGTATGGGGGGGCAGTGGTAGTGGAAGGCTAACTCTGGTGGGAGGCAGGGGTGTTGTTGGTCAATGTCAGGCTCTCTCTGCGGGGGGCACCAATTGTTGTGTTGCCTAGGGCAGCACAAAACCTAAATACACCACTGTATACATCAATAGGTTCCCACCGCTCCACAGTCCTGTTTATGCCTCCTTGGGTAAGTCAGGTGCAAGCCGCAAAGACTCTCATCATCCGTATCCGTAAGGACATTGTCAACTCACAAGCTACCTCTCCACCTTGCCCCCCCCATCACCCCCTCAACTCTCCCCTCCTCCGACCCGCACCTCCTCATACCCGCACTGCCCCCCCCACCATACCTAACACCCCGCACACTATCACCTCCCCAACGCTCCGCTCCTTCAGCCCAGCTACCACTGAGGAGGTCACTAAGGTCTTCACTGAAGCCTGCCTCACCACTTGCCCCTTGGACCCTATCCCTTCACAGCTCCTCCATTCACCCCCCTCCTCCATAATTCGCTCCCTCACCCACATCTTAAATCTCTCCCTCTCCACTGGCACATTCCCCTCCCCCCTAAAGCATGCACATATCACCCCCATACTCAAAAAACCCTCCCTTGACCCCACTGATCCAAACAACCTTAGACCCATCTTCCTGCTACCATTCACTTCCAAGCTCCTTGAGCGCTTGGTCTACAATCGCCTAAGCGCAACCTCACTGATAACAACCTCCTTGACCCACTACAATCTGGCTTCTGTCCCCTACACTCCACCAAAACCGCCCTACTTAAAATCACTAACTACCTGCTAACCACCAAAGCTAATGGCTATTACTCAGTCCTCCTGCTCCTCGACCTCTCCACGGCCTTCAACACAGTCAACCACCCCTCCTCCTTACAAAACTGCACTCCCTTGGCATCAGGGACGCTGCTCTCTCCTGGTTCTCCTCCTACCTATCCCAACGCTCCTTCAGCGTCACCTATAACACTGCCACCTTATCCTCTCTCCCCCTCTCTGTTGGAGTCCCCCAAGGTTCTGTCCTCGGACCCCTCCTCTTCTCCATCTACACCTCTTGGCAAACTGATACACTCCCATGGCTTCAACTACCATCTCTATGCCGACGATACACAAATTTACCTCTCCACCCCCCACCTCACCCCTTTACTCTCCACCCGCATTGCCCACCTCCTGAACGAAATATCAGACTGGATGTCACTCCATTTCCTCAAGTTAAACCTGTCCAAAACCAAGCTCCTGGTTTTCCCCTCAGCCCGTGCCCCCCGTCCTCTCTATCACTACTAGCAACGCCACCATCAATCACACCCCACACGCCAAAGTCCTGGGCGTCACCCTGGACTCAAACCTTTCCTTCCAACCTCATGTCCAATCACTATCAAGGTCATGCAGGCTCCACCTCCGCAACATCTCCAAGATACGTACATTCCTCACCCCAGACACTACTAAACAACTCGTACACTCCCTCATCATCTCACGCCTGGACTACTGCAACTCTCTTCTCACTGGCCTACCCAAACAAACTCTATCCCCACTCCAGTCTATCCTGAATTCAGCGGCTAGACTCATCCATCAAATTCAAATTACTAACTCTGACCTACAAAGCCACTTTCAACGCCGCCCCAAACTACCTAACTGACCTGATACCCAAATACCACCCTACCCGTGCCCTTCGCTCCTCACAGGACCTAATACTCTCTAGCTCCCTGGTCAAATCATCCCACGCCGGACTCCAGGACTTCCTCAGGACTTCCCCCATCCTCTGGAACTCCCTACCCCAATCCATCAGACTGTCACCTACCCTCCTCACCTTCAGGAGCACCCTGAAAACCCATTTCTTCAGGGAAGCCTACCCCACCCTCACCTAACAACCGATCTCCTCCACTTCTCCCACCACTCCATCCCCCACAGCCACTTCCTCCTGTACCACTTCCCCTCCCCCCTAGATTGTGAGCTCGAAAGAGCAGGGCCCTCAAACCCCTTGGGTATTGTACTGTTACTGTTTTGTCTCATGTTCTGTCCCCCCGCTATTGTACAGCGCTGAGCAAACCCTTTGGCACTATATAAATACTGTATAATAATAATAATAATAATATTCATGTCTGCAGGAAGAAAGAACAAAGCCTCTGTGACAAAGCACCATGGACAGTGAAATGCATCAGGGGAGGGCAAGATGAGTGGGGCTGTTTTGTTTGCTATGTGCATGTTTAACATTAGCAAACTCTATATTTATTTTTCAATAATAGGTGGTGTCATTGATGGTGACCAACCCTTTGTACAACTTTATAATTGTGCTACAAAAATGTACAGAAAACATCTACCTACATGCCAGCAGCATCAATATATCTAACAGTGATATGTAAAACAGTCATTGCTTTTAGAGGTACTTTCAATTAGTCTACTAAAGAAGTAAAGGGCTGGTCACTTTGAAAAGTGAATGTTTGGAAATGAGATTACTCTGTCAACACTCAGTGCGGATTCACATTAATATGGATAGGATGCGGTTTGAACCGTATCCAATCCGCATGACATGTGAAATAACATTGCTTCCTATGGTGCCTGATCACATATGTCCAGTGCAC